TATATTACCATCCAATGAGGGAAACYGACACATATACAACTAACTATTGCAGAATTAAAAGCCATGCTGGCAATTTCAACAAAACACAGTGTGAACACATATGTGAGAGGAAATTAATTTTCTAACTCATAATGGAAAAGTGATGAGGGAGGGGTTGACGAAGCTCGTGCAGAGGAGGTATGTGTGATGTGCGTGTCAAGCAAAGAAGTGGCGAGAGGGCCATCACCAGTCAGGGGCACAGCACCTGGTGCAAATATTCATGGCAGGATACCCAAGGAAGGTGGGATGATTTGGGGTCATAAGGCTGGAAACTGAGGGGCCACACTGTGAATTTCCTTGGATATCTTAAGAAAGAGAAGATTTCCTGCATTGTGGAAGTAATTCTGAGATTCAAGTCAATAAAAATATACAGACACAAGCCTGAAGGACCTGCCAGCTGCATTTTGTTTTAGTGTGACTTAGAGCTTTTGCTGAAATCCACGCTGCCTTCGCAGTCATCAGCGTGGGAGGACACTGAAGGACCAGGCTTCTCAGAAGGACTCCAAGTGCTGGGAGCTTCATTCAGAACCCTGATGCAGCTTTCCGAGCTCTCTGCCTCCCCAGAGCCCCACCAACCCACCTGGCGGGTGGATTGTTTTTAACCAGGGGTTGGCATTTCCTTCAGTAGAGTTAGAGACAGGAGATCGCTGCCACCTTCATGGCTGTTCATTCAGAGACTGGAGAGGGGCAAAGGGGGATTAAGAAAAGACACACAAACATTTAGAGAGAAAGGTGGGATCAGGTGGGTACTCTCCTCTGATGGAGGAACAGTGACCCAGAGCTGGCTCCGCATGGTTATTATATAGGTTTTATCATCCAAAGTTTATATTGTGAGAAAGTTTCTGGAAAGCAGGTAGACTTGAAGGTCACAGCACAGGTGAGCCATTATGGTTACCTTGCTCTGTTCAGAATCTTCTGTTCTTAGGAGACAGTGTCTGCAACTCAAGATTAAAACAGACATCTCTGGATGTTTGCCCAGAGAGACCAAGGGCCGCTCTGCCATAGCAACTGGGGAATGTTAACCCTACACTCATGTACAGAAAAATCCCAGTGCAAGTGCACCACAACCTCAAGATAATCAGACACCCTGATTTACATCACCACTCCCCACAGGAGATAGCTTCCTGAACGGCCCTGCTCATGCCCCAGCATCTTCAACTCATGGTCAGTCTAAGTGTGAGGACTAAAGTTGTTGAGTGGAAGGATTGGACAAGGTTAAATGCAGAATTTCAGAAGCAGCATGCCTCAAGGGAGAGGTACTGGTTCTGTGGACTGACAGAGTTGGATATATTTCTTAGTAAAGTGGCTGTAACTTTTAGGCAAGTTGCTTGATTGGCCCTTCAGAGCTTCTATTTCCCTATCTGAAATAGTAGCCTTACTAACAACTTGACGAGGTGCTATGCTGATGGAATGAAATAATGCACCCTATATCTGACATATAGTAGGCATCCTAAAAAAGCATTTCTTTATCCTCTTCCCTTCCTCATAAAAAGGGAGGTTAGGATCCAGACTCCCTCCGACATCCTCTGAATCTGGAGCAGCCAGGACTAACTTGGAGAGAGTCTGTGCCAAACACGCTGAATCTCTAGAAACCATGTGGGTTTTAGCTTATCAGTGTGCCAACAAAACGCCACTGTATATTAAGAGAATTCCTTCTGAGTTTAAGCATTTCTAAATACCTTTCCTGAATCGAGTGTGAAAAGACTGCTCTTCTCTGTTTGTAAAGGCATCTCTCCCATCCGCCCCAGATTTTCACGTTCTGTAACTGGACGTGTGTACCCAGCTGACATCTGMGCCAGCCAGACCTGAGGTAACTAGAGTTGAGACCCCCATTTTTTTTTCCACTCCAGAGCTTACAAATTCTATTTCAAGCACACACAYGTACAGAATGCAGATGTGGGGATGAAAATCAGGCCCTTTGGGGCAGTGAGGCTGTGACATGAAACTGGAGTGAGACCATAAATGGCTCATCAGCAGTGGCCTCACCCTAGGCCTAGCGGGGCCCAGACCTCAAAGCGGTTTTGGCCTTTTGATATAGCATTAGCAATCGCCTGGGACAGTGGCCACACCTCCCATTTGGGGCAAGACATTGCACAACCTGTGATTTAGACAGTCTAGAAAGATTTTCTCTGTACTCCGAGGAATGTGGAACCACGTGGAAATTCTGGAGAACTCCTTTCCCTGAGGAAGCTGAGGGCCAAAATTAGGATGGGCAGAGGGGAAATGGAGCTGCTTATGCCTGCCCGGCACAAGAGGATTACGCTGGTCCAAGAAATTGCCACTTCAGAATGTATTCCTAATGAGAATACAAACCAGAGGCAAGGCTGTTTGGCAGTTGACATCACCTAACAAAACCTCTTACAGCTCACCCAGACTGCATGTGACATCCCCCCTTGGATAACTAATAATTTATTCGTTCACTCAACAAATATTAAGAAACTTACTACCTGAAACTTACTACTATCATAGGTACAATGGACAACAACAACAAAAAAAATGTTTTTTTTTTAAATCTCTGATCTCATGAAATTTACATTCTAGGAAGAAAAACTAACAGTAAACAACATAAATAATTAAAATGTAAATTATCTATTTACCTCAGATTCTCAAAGGTGTTGCTATCGTCTTGGTTCCTGGTTGCTGTTCAGAAAGCTACCACTTTTCTGATACCAGTGCCTCCTAAGTGACTTTGTCCCCGCCTCTGGGAGATTTTACAGCCCTCTGTTTTTTCCTGTCATCTCTAGTGTCTCATCGACAAGCCTAAATGCATGTTAGGGCATTTCATGAATGCTTTAAATCTTCCGTCTTGTACTTCAGTTTGTGAGAGAAAAAAGAAAAAAAAAAGAAAATTCTTGGATTATTTTTTGGGGAAATTCTCTTTTTCCTGATCTCTTACCCAAAGCTCTCTTATTAGGACTATGATGCTCTGATGTCATTCTCTATTTTTCTTATTATTGTGCTTCTCCCTTTCTCATCCCTTAGATCTGTTTGCTCTACTTTCTAAGATTCCATCAACTTTTTCTTCTTCACTGAATTTTTATTTCTGCTGCACGGTTCTCCAAGTGTTCCCCTGTGCCTGAACTGCCTCGCCTCACAGAGTTTCTGTTTCCTGTTTACAGCCATTGATAAATACCTGTGAATCCCTGTGAGTCTAAATGTATGGTGGAGACGTAGTCATACCAGCTGCAAGTTTTTATATATGGCACTCCACATATCTCATGACCAGACGACATCTAAATATCATGTTCAAAAATCTGTTGGTCACCTTCTTCCAGGCCACTCAGTTTTCTAGGGGGATCCTTCAGTTTCCTGACTGGGGTTTGAGCCCCTTGGCTAGCATTCTCCCCTGGGCCTGGGCGTCCTGAATCCAGTCTTTGGATGGAGCTCCTCAGTCTTCTGATGTGAGTGCAATGAGGAATTCCTTGGCTGAGTAGTGTGGAAAGGGAGAGGTGGACATCTTGCCACGAACTGGGGAAGAAAAGAGTTCAACCAGGCCTCATGCGTTCAACTCACTGTTCCTTCCTATCTTTTACTTGATTTCTGTGGCCCTGGATGTTGTAGGTCAAGTTCTTCCCTTAAAGATGTAGGTGTCAACTTTGTCTCAAATGCTATGATCATCAAAGTTAAGGGTCTTATTCAAGAGCACACAGCCATTTTTTCTCTCATCTTTGTCATTGTGGATTTATGTCTTTTGGATTCCTCATTGCCATTTTAAATGGAATTTCTGAAGGAAGTAATAAATTTGTCTCATGAACTGCCATGTTTATCTAGGCGTCGCTCTATTCTCTTATCACTCTCTCCTATTAAGGCTTAGCCAAGTGGTGGTCCACCCTCGGTAGGATCTCACAAAGATTCACATTCAGTGTTAGGGTCTTAGATATCCTATTTCAGGGATGTGTTTCTGAATAACAAATGACCATAAAACATAGTGACTTGGAACAATGGCAGTCATTTATTTGTTTATGATTCTGCAATTTGAACAGCATTTGGAGGGAGCATCTCATTTCTGTTCCATGTGGCATCCGCTGGGATAGCTCATTCACATGACCAGTCAGTAGTTCTGGCTATAAAATGAGTGCATACCTGGAGCCAGGAGGACTCTGGTTCTTTGTGTGGCCTCCCGCAGGTGTGCCTTGGTTGAACTCCTGGAAGTGGATCCCAAGGTGCAGCTCACCTAGAGGAAAACCTCTAGTGTGCAAACACATATCAAATTTTCATTCTGCATCACACTTGCTAATAATGTTCCCATGGCCAAAGCAAGTCACAGGGCCAAGCCCAAAATCAATGTGGAAAGTGACTACACTCTATAGGGGAATAAAATACTAAGAAATGTGGTTCACTGGGGACCACATACCCCTTGAAATTGTATCATTCTGTGATTCAGTCCTGTGTTTCTCTTTGTGTAATGGACTTTTTCCCATTTTATTTATGAAATGTTGCTGTGTCCAATTCTTTTTTTGTAGCTAACTTAAGATGGTACAAATATACAGTAGGTATATATTAAGACCACAGAAATATGGTAGCATTTCCACTAAAAATGTTTCTGAATGGACTACAAAGATTTAAGCTCTGTAGTTTACCCTTTGCTATAATGATTATGTTCCTGGTTAATGAAAGACATGGAAAAAATAACCCTAAGGGATTAGGTCCTAAGTATACCTTCCAAAGGAATTAAATGCTACCTTTCACCTTAGGCTAGTCTAGGTCAGTTCTTTATCTTTTTGGTTTTAAAACAGTGGTTAATTAGCCTCCTTAATACCTGCCTGGACTCCAAAAAATAAAAGCAGATGCTTATGTGATAACCAGATAGTGCATTCCTTGGAAATTCCAAACATATATTCCTTGTCACATGCTTTTCAAGTTTGTCAAGAACATCTGTAAGTGAAGTAGGACAGACACAGCTTAGCTTGTGCTTCAAGTCCTCTAAGTCTGACTAATAACCATGCTCCTTTTGCACGCAGGGGTTCTCTATCTCCAGTACGGAGATGAAACCAAGCAGCTCAGGATGCCGAATGAAATCACAAGTGCAGACACGATCCGTGCTCTCTTTGTAAGTGCCTTTCCACAGCAGCTCACCATGAAAATGCTGGAGTCGCCCAGTGTCGCCATTTACATCAAAGATGAAAGCAGAAATGTCTATTATGAATTAAATGATGTAAGGTAAGTAGTTATGTCATTTGAGGGGTTTTTTTTGGTGGGGGGAGGGGGCGTCTTCCATGTGTTGTATTTATGGTTTGTTTCTCTCCACCATATGGTATTTAGAGGGTCTTTTATCTCATCCCAGTGAAGAAAGCAACAGCCATTATCATGATTGGCAGGATCATTCACCCAGGTGTGAATTCACTCTCTGGCTTTCCACAGTTCATTTGCAAGGCATAGTTTATAAAGATGGAGGCAAAAGACTTTTGCATGGATCTTTGAGTGTGACATCAGATCTTTCAGTGTGATAAATCAGAAAAGAACATTAGAAATGATCCAGCCCACCATTTCATCTCAAAGTCAGGAAAACCAAGGCCCAGAGAGTTGGTGGAGAAACTTGGTGAGAACTGAAAGCAGTACTCAGGACTAGAAATTTCCAAACTCCCTCTCAAGTGCTCTTTCCCCTGTAGACAGAGACTGTGGCTGTTTGGAGTAATGATCCTACTGGGTCATGATTTACAACTAACAAGTTAAAATACAAGCAGTGGCTCACCTTTATTGCCTAAAAGAAATGAGACTGCAAAGCATTCTCACTTTCCATTTGTTTCTTTGAGAGTGTCCTTTACCCAAGAGTCTCACTTTCCAGGAGGGCTTTCTCCAGGACACCCAGATGGATGTATTCTAAAACTAGACTACGAAGATTCATGGTACTGTAAATGGCAAAAAAACAGAAGCATCCTATTGGCTGCAGTGGTGGAGTATATGGAACAGAAGGGACTCTTTTGAACTATTCTATTCAAATAACCTGAGAAACAGGACTTACATCACTAATATGGTGGCCTTTACCTATTGTAGAACTCAAGAGATTATTTAGTGGATAATCTGGCCCTTTCATTTTATGGAACCAGAATCACAGATAACATCAAAGTTAAGGGTCTTATTCAAGAGCACACAGCCAATTAAGCACTAAGCCCCACCCCAAACCTGGCTGTCGACATTCTCAGATCATCAAGGGCAGAACTTGGGGTTTTTGGATCCTCGCAGGGGTTTTTGGATCCTCGCCCCGTGGTGGTAGCAAGCTCTCCTGTTTTGTTATCTTGGAAATAACAAGTACCACTTTTTAAAATATGCCTTTAGAGGACAGTAAATGTAAACCGATAAATATCTAACAATGATCACAAATGACATATTTAGTATTGTGCCAAGATGAATGAGTAGTTTAGGGCTTTCAAAGTTTGACACATGCCCTAAGGTATAGGTGCTACCTATTACACAACCTTCCTGCTTTTTAAAAACGGTTTAAATATTCATGAGTACCAGAACATTCATGCTTGTTTTCAATATAAATTATTAGTCAAGCTATCACCAAAACTTTTTTTTTTAATTTACAAAGCATAAACTTAAAGCTGAAATAATCACATTATGTTTGAAGACTGTTTGCAATAATATAATCCCATGTAGTATTTTTACATGGACATGACATTTTATAACAATCATATTTCCACACTTAGAGGCATGGAGGGATGCTGTAATAGGAAGTAGGTGTGAAACTAAGCACTCTTGATTATGGAGCTTAGGGCTAAGGAGAGGGTTGTAGACGATTGGAGCTCACTGTCTTGCAGCCTATGGGAGGATTGCCACAAGTCTATTTCCTAGAGCCTTTCGCAAGCCTCAAAATGTGATTCATTTGGTTCTTGTTTGCATTATTTGGRAATGTTGGAAAGCGGTTAACAAAGAGAAATACGAGAAGGACTAGGAGGAAACAGGTCATGGCCCTCCTTGCAAATCCATTTGGTAAGATTAGTGAAAGTAGCACTTGAAGGGCAGTCACTTTAAACACTATCATTCCCAGTGATGCTTACATTTTATGATCACAAAAATGATGATCTTTTTGATCTTTAAGCTGCAGTACTGATAGCCTGATTTTTTTAAAATCTCATTTAAAAAGCTTAAGTGGAAAGTCATTGATTTGTAAATTTTCTATAATTTTACTTCTCAGCTTCTTTGATTTAAATATTTAAAAAGACCTAAAAGTGTTCAAGCAGAGAAAAATGCTTTTGTTGGATGATGAATATAATATTTATGCTAAATGATCACATATATATCCTTCCTGAGAATCATTCTCTCTCTCTCTCTTTTTTTAAATATAAAAGATGGTTCAATTCTATTTCATTTGAATGATAGAAGAAATTTTCACCATAAGCATTATTTTAAGACCAAAAAAAAAAAAAAGTATCACATAGGTTCTAACTGAAGACAATGGCTTTAATCTAAACTCAAGGCAAATTTCATGTCACCTCCTGAGTACTTTTGAAGCAAGAGTGTATTTTCTCACCATTTGGCTTATTTCATTATGTGTTGGGTTCTGTGTATTTTCCTTCCGGGAATGCTGCAGAGTTCAGGTCAGAATACTGTGTTGTAAATGTCACCACCATAAATGCAATCTGGCCTTTTACTGTTGGTTCATCTCAGATGAACATGTTTCTAAATTAATCATAAGCCAAGCTCATGTATTTTCAAAATATCTTTACAGTTGCAGTAAGTCTTTCTCACCAGTGAGGTTTGCAGTTTCTCCACATCGTCACACATGACTTCTACCTCTAGCCAGAGGGTGCCGTTCCTTTAGTGAATGCCCAAGGCCTTGCCCCTGCGACATTCCCCTTCTCATTAACTGAGCCCCTTTCAATAGCAAGGGCTGTATGCTCCCCATTAACTGAGCCCCTTTCAATAGCAAGGGCTGTATGCTCCCCTCAGCAGACTTCTAACGAGCTCCTTGAAATGTGGAACAAGTGTGCAAGCTTGGACTAGTCCTTGCTTCAAAGTAATGACTGGCAGGTATTTAAAGAAGAAGAGCAGGACCAGTCCAAGAATCCTCCACTTCACTTAAAACCAAAACATAACCCAGTAATCCCAGTGATTGCAATCAGCCCATTAAATGTATCGCTGCACCTGGGAGAAGGTATTTGTCCTCCTGCACACATTTTTCTGAGTTTGCCCCAGCCATCACTGGAGTGGAATCACAGGGTAGACAGGGATGAAGGGACTTTGGATGGCCCTTCCAAGACTTTACAGGGTGAAACAAGGACTTCGTAGACATTCATGTGCTCTTAAATAACTTTAAGGTAGGCGCCAAGCAAGGTACGAGATTTCTGTCTTTTGCTTGTGGAATGACTCATTGGCTGTAAGTGCTAGGTTTAGAAGGAGAGAAGAATTTATCTGCTGCTATTCCTCTATGGCCCATGATTCAATTTGTAGGAAAGTATTTTTTAAAACCCACTGTGGAAGAAACAAATGCACTGTAAAGATATTAATTTAATTAATTTTGGTACTTTTTTAAGACTGCATATAACATTTTTATTTTCTTTGCCGAGCATGTTTGTAGAAAAAAAAAAAGAAAAAGAAAAAAGGCATTTGTGTGTGTGTGTGTGTGTGTGTGTGTGTGTGTGTGTGTGCGTGTGCACATTCATTAGATAAGCAGCAAACCAGGTGTTTGGGCAAAGTAAACGATTAAATATTTAAATATTAACCGAATCTCTTTGAACATATTGTAAACGTTGGAATTTTATTGTTTTTGAAAGCGCTAGTTTTCCACCCTCAAAATCTTAAAAGAAAGTTCTTGTTACCTGATATTTATGGGTGGAGAGCTACACTGAAAGAATAATACTTGCCCGAGGAACGAGACAAAGAAAGAAAAGCCGAAGTCGTTTTTCTTCTTTTCCTTATTTATATTTGCCTATTTTATGGTGAAAGAACTTTTTGTGTGGTTTCTGGTAGACACTGCCAGATTGTCTGTTCATGGCTTTTACCTGATCCTGCAGAGGAAATGGCCAGAGTCAGGCTTCTTTCATCTGCCATAGTTTTTGATGTTTTTGATTCCAGGAACATTCAGGACAGATCCCTCCTCAAAGTGTACAACAAGGATCCTTCACACGCATTCAGTCACACACCAAAAACTGTGAATGGAGACCTGAGGGTAAGCGGCACTGTTCTATTTTTAACTTTTCTTGGTGGGTCCAACCATCTCTTCTTCTTGTTCCTGCTTCTCACATAGTCACACCCCACCACCTGGTTTCATGGGTTCTCCTCTGGTGACTCATTGTTTGTTCCATAGTAGAAAAATAAGATAGCCTCGTCATTTGGGGCAACCAGATTGAAATGGGAGTGTTGTATACCCTAATCCACCTCACCTCTAAGCATGGAGTTTATATTTTATTTTTATCTTGGGCAAGGTGGGGTTTGAACCCAGGGTCTCCCACCTGCTAGGCAAGTTCCATATCCCTGAGCTACACCCTTCCAACCCTTAAGCCTAGAGTTTAGAAAAAGCCTCATTCTAAGAATATCCTGAAAATTTTCTCCTTAATACACTAACTTAGAGGATCCCATAAAATTCACATACAAACAAAGAGTACACATGTTACATGGACAAACTATTCATGTTCTCAGAGTGTGTCTTCCAAGTTCCTCACGTTCTCATTCCATTATTCACCTTCTAATCCAGGACTATTTACTGTTGTACTGTATTTAATATTAGCAAATCTTCTGTGAACCATGTTGTGGGCAAGCACAAACATCTGTGTGATTTAAGAGCTAAAAATCCTCTAGATTTAGATCATCTCAGGAGATCACACAGATATTCACAGTATCTAGGGGTGTTTTGAAGGAAAAAGAAAAAGGAAACTAAAAAAGAAAATTTTAAGATCACATTAATGTAGATCCACCAGGAAGGGATTGAGTTTCTAATAATAATTTTACATTCTTCTGAAGTAAAAATGGGAGGGGAAAATAAAAGATTTGGTTCTCAGCTGCACACCCCATAACCCGCCTCCCTACGCGCGCGCGCACACACACACACACACACACACACACACAAACACACACATTTAGATGACACCGCACCATTTCATATCATCTTTTCTATGGGTTAGCCTTAGTTGAATGTTGAAGTGTAACTAGAAAGAAAAAAAAAAAATACTTGCAAAGAAACTCAGGCATGATTCTTTCCTGGAGTTGGAGTGTTGTTCCTGAGTGAGGTGTGCTGTCTGTCTCCTGATAATGCTTGTTGGTTTCCTATTGCCACTAGAATAAATTATGACAAATATAGTGGCTTAAAACACTGCAAATTTATGATCTTATGGTTCTAGAGTCTTTAGACTGACATGAGTTTTGCTGGCCCAATATAAGGGGTCACTAGCAAGGCTTTTCTGGAGAGTCTAGAGAGAATCTATTTTCCCCCTATGTCTTCTAGCAATCATCAACATTGATTTGTAATCCCCTTTCTCCATGTTCAAACCTAGCAAAATAGCATCACTTTGACCATCGGCCTATCTCTAACCTGTTGTCTGCTTTTCAAGACATTTGTGGTTACAGTGGGCCTACACTGTAGTCCAGAAAAATCTCCCTATTTTCAAGTTAGCTGATGAACAACTTTAAACCTCTCTTTCCCAAGTATCCCAATGTAACCACAAGTGCAGGGAGTTAGGGTACAGATATTGGGAGACCACAGTTGTATCTCCTACAAAGAGTATGTGAGTTCAAGACCAAGAAACAAGTCAGGAGGTTCAGTTGAAAGTGCTAGAAGAATCCCTGTGTGATTCTGGATTGGAATGTGAGTAGTGACATGTGGAACCAGGGTCTATGCTTTTGGAGAAAAAGGCCGCTTATATCCTCAAATGCTTTTTTATGTCTAAAATGGTGTGTGAGTAGAACTGAAGTCTGTGTGGCTACTTTGGAAAATCTAAAATTTTGAGGTTCACTTTTAACCAGTTCCACTTCAACTATAAACCAGAGATACATGAAGACAGATTATGTCATGCCAATCATGAAGCATGGATAAATACTACAAGACACTATGCCTTTTATTACTCTTTTTTGGTGACATTCTTAGGAGTCTTTGCCCCTTTGGATATCTTTTTTTTTTGATATGTCTGGCCTTTGAACTGGAGTTCCGTTATGCTTGGAGTTGTTTCTGTTACGTAGAGCCATTCCCAGACAGGCGCCTCACAATTGCCTTTGAGAATCTTGTTTATGGCTGGGAGGACACCTGTTTTAACTCTTAAGCAGATGTGGTGCCTACATAAGGACCTGCTGTGAGGACTGGAAGCATCAAATATTAACCATATGCACAAAGCCTATTAAAATGCACAACTTTTGCTAAGGGTTTCAGCAAGTGGGTCTGTTTTTGTTTGTAGATGAGATGACAACGATCACTTTCTGGGTTATCCACAGCCTACGTTAGACACCAGTTGTTTGTATAAGAAAGTCAACCATTGTCCTCAAATGAGGGGATGACAAATGTTCACCATCCAACACAACAGAAAAGCTTTTCTGTCTCAATAAGACTATTTAGAAATGAAAAAATAGAAACCAGCTCGATGTGATCATGCCTATAGTTTGTAACTTAACCCCTCTTCACAGATTCTCCAAACTTAGAGACATGGAATTCCTTGGGCCTCACCTTTTGGTTCTGGAAGTTAGAATTCTTTTTCCTTTTCTGATGAATGTGTCTGCATTGCTATGAAACTACAGGAAGTTTTGTTGAGCCTTATTTGTAGCCCAGCTCCAAAACCCCATTGTTCATGGTAAAGAACAGAGCTAGGATCAGTTGTCACAGACTAAACCAAGCTGCATGCTGGGTTTAGGGGAGCTGCATCCTCCGTATGTTTGCAATGTAAGCGTGGCCTGAAGGAATTCCACAGTAACCACTTGCATGCGTCAGTCACTGCAGCCCTGCCCCTGATGTCATTAGACTTTACTTGCCAGCCTCTAGAGTCAGCCTGGGCCAGAACTCCCAGCTGCCCACTCCTTACCAATAAACATGCATATGAGAAAGACATTGGTTGGAACAAGTAGAGGGGTAACACCAGCCATGCCAGAACTTTGCAGTGGCCTCGGAGACTTTCCTGAAATGATAAATTTAATATCTTGCCTTTGAACAGAAAGAAAATGTTCAGATTGTATATCCAAAATTCCCAGGCATTTCTCCCAGAGCAGTTTTATGATAGAATGGCGTTCCTCAGGAAGTGTGTTAGACTAATGTATTAACTCTGAGGTTATGGGCCTCAGAGTGTACATGGAATTTATGCTTGGTGGGAAGCATGTGTCTAGCTTTTCATTTAGCATCTAGCTGAGCATTTTTGAGGCCAGGATATCTAATGAGACTTGTGGTTCTCAACTGGATCTGAGCCCACCCGGCTCTGATTTTTGCACACGGGTGCAAATCATCCTGATGTAATTTAATCACATAGCCTTTGTTTATTGCATCAGATGGTAGAGCTGATACTTCAGTTCCCAAGGGATCGAGCTTCCCATATGGAAGGGGATCTTTCACACAAATTATATAGGTACTCACAGGGTTTTTAATTCACAAATATATAACTTAAAATGAACCATTCCATTTTGTGGTTCTCAAATGGTACTGGTGACTTCCTAGTGGCTTTTTCATAGTTTGGGGGCTTCTTTACCTTCTTGTATATAGTCAACATTACTTCCCAAGATTCTTTACTCTCCCTTAATGCTCTCCCTCTTGTCTCCTTCTGTTAATTTCACTTGTCTAGGATTTTTACTTGTATACAGACAACTGCCAGATTTTCATTTAGATCATAACTCCCCAGAATTGACCCTGCATCTTAAATTACTTCCTAATACCCAGATGAGTCACCGCTGCCCAGACCTCTTCTATTTGAACTTTGTGTTTGATGCTGAGGAATGGTCTCCTTAGAAACCATGGGCTTCCATTACATCGCCATGTCTGGATTCCTTCCCTCCATTCAAACACCCCCCAGCCTCCTTTATTCACTAGTGTTTCTTCCTCCCTTTTCCCCCTAAATGATCTCCAGTGTGTTCCCGCAGTCTTTACCAGTTTGGAGATTTTAGTTTTTATTTCTTTTGTCTGTTTTCTGAACTTTTGCACTTGTAGTTTTTATTTTACTACTGATTTAATTATTGCATCCATATGGATGACCCTTAAAACTGTATCCTAGTTCTTCCATCTCTAGAATTCAAGACCCAAATGTTCAACTTCTATGTGGTTCTTTTCATACTGATATTCTTCTAGCATTTCAAATGTATCCCATTGAAGAAAAAATCACTGTTTTTTTTTCCTCCAAGCCTTTATCCTCCTTGATTTTTTTTGTTATCTTTTGAGGATAGATTGGTAACATTGGGGAGTATACATGTGTGCATGAATCTCTTGGGGGCTAGGGGATGTGAGGTTCAAAACATTGCATTGAGGTGTCAATGATTCTGCTTTTGCCTGATTCTTGCTATTCACATATTCAAACAGCCCCCAGAGTTTGCCCATTCCATGCTGCAAGGTCTTTCAGAGATGGCCCTTCTGCCATTGCCCACACCAGTATTCTTATAGTTGCTAACACATTTTTATTTAATTCTCAAGACAAAATTTTGAGACAGGCATTGTAATAAGTCCTTTTATTTGTAGTTGATGAAACAGTTTCTTATGTTTAGAAATTATCCCAGGGCCACATAGCTAGAGAGAAAAGGCTGATCTTTGAACTGGGTAACTTAGTTGTGGATACTAGGCTCCTTAGCTAGCATTCTGCTGCTGTAGTTACAGTAGTCATTATTTCTCTACCAACTGCATCAGCTGCAGTTCTGTTCTTACTCCCCAGTGTTTCTAGTTCCAAGATTCTGAAATGTCCTCTTCCTTTCCACATATCTGCCTGCTATGGTTTGGAGATGGTTTAAGGCTCATGGGCTGGAAGCTTGGTCCCCAATGTAAGAAGTGGTAGATCTTTAAGAGATGGGGCCTGATGGAAGGTGGTTGGAAAATGGATGGGGGGATCCACCCTCAGAGGAGATCAGTGTACTTCTCCCAGGACTGGATTAATTCTTACAAGAGTGGTTTGTTATGAAGCAACATCATCTCACATGCTTGGCCCCTTCCACACATGGCCATTTCCCTTTCTGCTTCTTGGCCATGTTGATGCAGCCTGGCCCACAGATACTGGCACCAGA